GCCAATCTATGAAGCACAAACCGAGCCATACCTCATCTAGCACGAATCTCAGGCCAATCTATGAAGCACAAACCGAGCCATACCTCATCTAGCACCAATGAACTCTTCCTTAGTACAACTTACCTCATCTTCCTCCCTTTTCTCCGTAAAATCCCTAGCCCCTCTCTTGTAACTGGAGCACATTTGAGTTTCTACTGGACTCTACGTCTCCCAAATTGCAATTCTTGAGACCTCAAACAAACTTTCTGCTTCTCTTGCAGTTTATGCTTCTCATTTGTTGACCTGGAGAGACGGGGATAACGTCCACCTCGCGCAGAAGTTATAAGGATTAAGTGAAAATGAGCCTGTAAACGCTCGCACATAGCTGCTATTAGCTAACCAAAGGGCAGCCGCCAAGAGGCCGAGAAGAGACTGAAGCCGGCGTCACCTGGCTTCTAGCTATCTAAGGACAGCCTCTCGGGGACACGCCCTCCTTCTCTCCTTTGCAGACGCGAAGCTGGCATATCGCCCCTGGAAACCCGCGGCGGCCCAGAGTGGGCGGCGCAGCCAGCGGAGGGGTCGGTGAGAGGCCCCCGGCGGCAGAGGCGACCGCCCGTTGCCCCCAAGCCGGCGTCTCTGGGCAGAAGCGGTGACACCGTGAGGAGGAGCCCCGAAACGCCCCTCCGGCGGGCGGCCTGTTCGGAGGAAGGCCGGGCAGGCCAAAAGGGCAGCCGGCGGACAGGCGGCGAGGAGGCTGGGCTCCCCCGACCTCGGCCTCGGCGCCGCTGCTCCCCTGGGCGGCCCCCCTACCTGCAGCGCCGATTCCCTGAACACCGCGGCCGCCGCAGCCCCCGAGTTTGCGACTGCTTCTCCCCCTTCCGCACGGCTCCCTGGCTCCCGGTCCATCGCTGTCGCCGCCACAGGGCTGCTGGCGCTGGCGAGATAGAACGTAATGGCCGATAAGCTCACTTCCATCCTCCGCCTCCCCGCCCCGTCGCGGACCGAGCCCACTGTCGGGAACTGGGACTCACCGGCAGGGCCCACCCCGCGCCGCGCCCGGCCACGCCACGGCGGGAGGGACGCGCAGCCCTGGGGGCGGGGCCGGCCCTGGCCCCGCCCACCAGCCCTGCTCCTCCGGGGCTGACCAGGACCTGGGGGCTCCGAGCGGGCCCGGCGAGAGGCGGGGCCTGGTCAAGCCACGCCCACTGCTCGCCCCCCGATTTTGCGTCGCGCAGCCTAAAGAAGGGAATGCACGGCCGGAGGGGCGGGGCAACTGTGGCCCCGCCCACCGGCGCCCGCAGACCCCCGGGTGTCTCCGGCTGCGGGGCGGGGCCGGAGCGCGCGGAGCCGCAGCGTGGCACCACCCGTGACGTCACGCCTCGTACCTGCGCCCAGAACTTGGCTTCGCGCTCTCGCCACAGCCGCTCGCCAGCTGCATCCTGGGCAATCACCCTCCCAGACCTTGGTTACTGCACTTGTAAAACGAGAATAGCTGCGTACTGTGCTTCAAAGGCTTGTGATGACATGTGGTTGCTGAAAATATGTTTTAAAATGTATGGCTCAGGTTACATATTCCATTTCTAACATGGATGACAGTTTAGGCAAAATACCCTTGAAATAAGAGCCTCAAAGGTTAATTTTGCTTACACTTGTCTGAAATACTTTGAGGTATCTCCGAAGAACTAAGTGAGACCTCAAGGAGAGCAAAGGGCAGCGGCAAGCTTCCATTTCGACAAATGTGAGGAATAATTTATTATCTGTTTTAAGGGTGTGTGCGCGCACGCGCATACCAGATTATTCCCATTTTTCCCAATGTTCGATCAAATTAGAAAGTCATGATTGCAATGATTACTGCATTACTTGAACAAACTAGTTGGAGCATTTCCAGGTAAATGGTATTCTGTTGTAGTTTTAGTATGAAACTTTTCACGAATTGTGGAGGTCAAAAGTAAAATACATTATTTTGGCCAGGGCGGGGGGGCTTCATTTGATACTTTAAATTTCGTTTTCATGCAAGTCAAACTTCAGAAATGCTCCCCAAAGTTATGGCCTAGTACATCTGTTATTCAGCATGGCCCAACACCCCTACAACTTTAAATATTCCTTTCTCTCCTGTGCAAAAAGTCCTTTTCCCTTACTCTCTGCTTAATCTTCCTGTACACTTTCTATCCTGCATATAACTATGACAACCTAAAAACCAAATCAGGGCCTGAAAAACAAAAGTTGATCATTTGAAAACCATCTACATTTAAAAAATTGGTTGGAAATTCATAATCTATAGTCCAGTAATAAAATCCAATTAGCTTGTTGCTGAGGAAAACAAATTTTAGTAACATTATCTGATGCTGTCTAGTGGCATTAGCATGCATGGGGTTGAGACAGTCCAAAACAACAAAAACAAATTCTGCAATAAATTGGAAAGAAAAGAGCCAATTGTTAAAGACTTTCATGAATTGACTTTCATAAACAAAGACAGTTCTAACATTACATGTATTCAAAATCCCTTTCCTCTTACTGACAAGAAGGGTAACAATCTTTATTATTAAAAATTTGTGGAGTGTTTATAAATGCATGATTTTATTTTGAAAACTGGCAACTAAACATCAAATTACAATTTTCACTGCTGAAGCAGAACTTATTTTCATGGTTAACAAGTGTTATATTTCTTAGTTTACTGAAAATTCAAAATGCAAGTCACATTCCAACATGAACTAGAATTATTTCCTCAGAAGAGTTTTTACCACAAATATGCAACTGAAGAGCAGTCTATTACAAATGAACAACTCATAGCAACAGAAAAGCATAGAAATTCTAACGGTTTCATTTTGAGGATTTACATTTTTGTCATTACTTCTGGACTGTCATAGCTCAACTAAAAGTAGGCAACAAAGCAACATGCCAAATCTTTCGCTCTTTCACATTGTAGTATAAATTGTATTGTCACTATGACAAAAAATAAATCCAGGTATTATTATAATTTATCTACTTGAAAACATAACTGTAGTCTAAATTTATCATTTAATGATCCATAGAGAGCTAAGAAGGTAAATTTGGAGCCACCTATTTCTGTGAAAGGCTGGGAAAACAAAGCTGAATAAAATTCGATAAACAGGAATGTCCATCAAATAAAAAAACAAGACTTTCTTATGGTTTTAACATAGCTACATATATATATTTTGGTAGAGAGTCTTTTTAAGGTTATCCCATCCCTCAATATATTTTCATCATCAATGATGCACAAGGAAAAATAAGGTGGTAAAAATTAAAATACACTTTAGGTTGATTTTAAGCATGAAGATAAAGAAATTGTTAAATCGCAGTAGTGGCTTCACTTATGGAACCTGATATACCAGGTGCAGTGCTAAGGGCTTTCCTTATATTAACTCTTCCTAACAACTCTGAGGTACTAGTATAATTACCAACATTTTACAGATGAGGAAACAAAAGCTCAGAGAGGTTAAGTAACTTGCTGAAGGACACAGCTGGTAAGCAAGCAGCAGAGCAAAGATTCAAACCTAGGCAATCTGATTCCATGGCCTACACTCGTAGCCAATCTCCCCTCTGAGAATGAAAATGTCAGAAAATAGGCTATTAGGAGGGCAGAAAATTCCTAGACCAAAGGTGAGTGTGGTATTTGGAAAGATTTGGGTGGAAATTACTCAAGTGCATCTTTTTTGAAGTCTCTTATAAAATACAGCCATTCGTAAGCTTCAAGGCCTTATATGTAAGAAACAAATGAAAATACCAAGTGAACTTGTTTTATTTGATGCTATGTGAACACAGTGGTTTTAATGGAAATTTGGTCAGATTTTTTATAATTTTATTTATTTATTTATTTTTCCCCCAAAGCCTCAGTAGATAGTTGTATGTCATAGTTGCACATTCTTCTAGTTGCTGTATGTGGGACGCGGCCTCAGCATGGCCGGAGAAGCAGTGCGTCTGTGCGCGCCCGGGATCCGAACCCCGGCCGCCTGCATCGGAACGCATGCCCTTAACCGCTAAGCCACGGGGCCGGCCCTGGTCAGATTTTTTTATGTCATGAGAATATACTATTGATATTCAACTACCAGAATTTTTTATATGGCATTAGTCATATAATATTAGTTTCTTTGTACGCGATGCCTAAATGCAGTAATCTCAAATTGAAGAGCTGTACACCTTAATCTGAATGTCTGTAGAATCCTAGGAGTCTTCTGATAATAATCCAAAAAACAAGTATAAAGATATAATAAGGATTGCCACAATTAAGGATGCCTTTCCTCTCAGGGAAAAATGATCCATTGTTTCTTTTAACACAATAAGAGGAAATTGCAGAAAAACAAGGGATGCACGTCAACTGCAGGGTCTCACACTCCCTGTGTTTCCCATCAAATGCAGTGTCAGGAAACAGGCGGATATTTCTTGCACTTCTGCCAGAAACAAAATTCTGAACCCTTTGACTGATTTCCCAAAGTCAGAAATTACAGGCCCATGAATATAACCAATAACAACTCTTACCTCTTTTGGGTCAGTGAGGAGCACATTTCCCTCATTCTATAATAAAATCATAAAAAGCAAGCAAGCATGATTCCTAAATCATGCAGATATGCACACATTACATGTTCTCCTCACTTGATGCAGATATAGGACCTTTTTCTGGAAAGAGGCTCACAAAACTTTGGTATAAACAAAAAAGAGACCACTGAGGCCAGCCCAGTGGCATAGTGGTTAAGTTCACACACTCCACTTCCACGGCCTGGAGTTCACAGGTTCAGATCCCCGGTGCAGACCTACACACCACTCATCAAGCCATGCTGTGGGGGCAACCCACATACAAAATAGAGGAAGATCAGCACAGATGTTGGCTCAGAGCCACTCCTTCTCAAGAAAAAAGAGGAAGATTGGTGTCGGATGTTAGCTCAGGGCCGATCTTCCTCACCAAAAAAAAAAAAAAAAAAAGAACAAGAGACCACAGTCACAGGATATTGCTTCCTTTCACTTCCCATAAGAAAGAAAAGCCTTTATGCAGCTGTGTCACAGGAATCTCAGGCCCCAGGTAGGGGATTTTCTTAGTGTCAGGCTCATCTGAATTATTCCTTTTATAAGCAGCTACTGCTGTGCAACTTCTTGACTGTTTTTCCATTTATGATCCAACTGGTACTGAGAAGTGCATTATTTTAGGCTAATGAGAGAAACTTTTAAAGCCAAGTGAAGCTAAAAGATATAACATGCTCTTCAAATGATGTTTTCAAATGAAGAGAGAGAAAAGTAATGAAAGAATAGCATAGGCATGCAAAAGTCAAAAGAACTTGTGTGGCACATTAATATTATCAAAGGAAATGTGCCATAATTACCAGCTTACAAGGTATATTTTCACTTTACAAGTACCCAAAAATTACCTTCTACTCAATATGCTCGTATTACAGAGAAGAGGTCAGCCGAGAGGGATCGGGCCTAGAGTACTCAACACTGAGCACAAGTAAATTGTTACCTACCCCTAACGGCAAAGTTTCACATCACCTCAGTTAACTACTTGACAAAAATAACGAGCCACAGACTACATAACTGATCTAGCAGTAAAATTCACATTAATCCCCCAACATCTGAGATGTAAATTCATCGTTCCTGTAACTTATGGCTCAAAACCAAAACAGGTATTAGGTTCAACCTTGATAGTTTAATGTTCAGAACGTGGTGACTGGAATTTAGAGCAGAACTTTGAAGATGACTCAGTGTCTAATCCAGTGAATGCCAGCAATGAACAAAATCATCTAGATTTGAGCTGTGATGACAGCTTTCCAGTTTTGGATATGATTACTTACTTGGCTTTATTAATAATTATTAAGTTTTAAGGAAGACTAAAATTTACTTACATTTACTTGTTATTGAGCCATGGTTCTCACTGACATAGTTTTTATTAGAGCTTATTCAAATTCCCTGGTTGCTCTCTGTATTCAAATAGTAAAATACTTGCTTTTACTGCATACACAAGCATCTAGTTGAAATTCTTTCACGTTTGTTTTAAACACTGTTCCATTTTTTAC